AATCCTTCTTGTAGATCGGGGTGACAGTAGATTCTTCCTATGTATGGGGTACACTTTCAGTTTCCCAGATTTTTGAGAGCAGTCTCACATGAGAGAGCTCGATCATCTTTAAAGAGGGTAAGTGACAGGCCGTCTGATCCAGCTACCTTGTGGCGTTTCAGGGCTTAGAGTTCCTTTCGGACCTCCGCTTCTGTGGTCAGTCCCGTGGATAGTAATCAGGGTGCACTCCCAAGAGAACTGCTTGGGGTAGCCATCGCGGGGCTGGTTGAACTGCGATGTGAAATGCTCTGCCCAGCGTTCCAAGCATTGGTAGTAGCGAGCCGTCTACTTCGCGGATTGTTTTACTAAGGCATTGTCTTTTGGGGTCTGTAGCACAGATGAGCTGGAATAGTTGCCGGGTGTTTCTACACCTAGCTGCTGATTCCATCTCCTTTGCACGTAGCGTCTACCAGGCCTCTCGATCGTCTCTCAAACTGTTTGTGGGTTCACGCTTCAGGGTGAGGCGCTGTTCATTGTACTCGCGGTCTACCGGGATCGCCCGGCGCGTCGAGGAGTCAGAGAGTTGGAGTAGACCCAGTGCTTTCTAACTCGGCGGGTTTGGCCACAACTGTTTAAACCGGCTGAGTGCATTGCGTTGTGAATGGTTGGTGGGGTAGTAGTTAGCCTTGCGGCCAACTCGTTTTGGTAGTCGGCTAGTACGGCCGGGTCATAGAGCTGGACGACGTCAAGCTGTTTGCATCGCATCTTGTGGCCACCAAATCGCATAGACAACTTGACACAAACCAGTGCGTGGTTGGAGCCGAAGCAAGTAGACCAATACGAACGGCAGTGTTTCACACATCCTCTCCATTTTTAACTAATAGTTATATGGTCAATCTGACTCCGCGTGTGTCGAAGAGGGGTTATACCAAATGGCGAGGTGACGCTTTGAGTGTCTGAAGTTCGTGCTAACGAAGAACAAACCGTGTTCTGAGCATATACTAAGAAGTCTATCTCCATTATCTGAACGACAGCTATCAAGGCCATGATGGCCACCAAAGTTGGTTTCATCGGGTGACAGGCGACCAACGCGTGCGTTTAGGTCTCCGATCAGGATCACGATATCCGTCTTAGGTGCTTTGAGAAGAAGCTCATGTAGGTTGTGATAGAAGACGTCCTTGACTGTATTCGGGCTGCAGTCTATGGGGGCTTATGCAGAAACCACGAATAAGCATCGTTCATTCTGCTTTTTGACCTTACTAGAGCCTCTGAGTCTCACTGCGCATAGTCTGCTATCTATCGGGATCCAATCCAGTAGATCAGTTTCGGCCCTGGCAGTTAAGACAATACCAACGCCCACTTGACCAGACGCTGAAGCGATAGGGTCCCCGGGAACGCGCAGTTGAAACGCTTCTTTTGGATTGGAAGGAGACGTTAATCGGATCACTTAGCTCGGATCCCGAATGCGTATTTCCGAGAGGCAACACATAAAACTCGACTTCCGAGCGTATGAACCAAATCTGCTTGCTATCTTATACGCATTAGTGAAGTCAAGTTAAAAAGTAGCTTTCATTCGCCCCATAGGGGCTGAACATTCAGCTACCACACAATCACTCTTCTGTGGAAAAGGCATGGTATAAGAATGACGGTACGCTGCGTCTACAAATAAATAAACGAAACTTACCAGATTTTGTTTAAGGGTTCCAACGACAAGGTCGGCGTTAGTAAGAAACCGTGCCAAGTACGCTGTTACAGAACACTTGTGTGTTGTGGTGCGTGCTGCTATATTCCTATACTTGGGGCGAGTGTTAAATGTATAGATACGTTGACTAGGGTGAGGGTACAGTGGGTGAGATGGGTCAAGTAGTATTCTGGTACAAAGTTTCTGGTAAGCCCTAAAGTGCTGTGAAATAAACTGCACAACATGCTCATGAGATATACCGCTGTATCGACATACGTGTTTGATGGATGTACATATGAGTTTAAAGTCTTTGATTAAAAAACCCGGAAAAATAACTGGGGATGCATAAAGCCAGTGGGGAAGGATATAAGAGAAAAAAACTTTATTAAGTGTGTTGGGGTAGTTAGCACTTTCGAACGAATAATGTAAAAGGTGAGTTTTCTGACTTTGTGGAATGTCTCGGCGATATGAGGAGACCAAGAAATATTGCGGGAAATGGTGACTTCAAGATATTTGACGGAGCATACTCTGGAAACTTATTCACCATAGATAATGACATATTGACAAGAGTTCATCACATTAGTGTATTGGTTACCCTTCAGTTAAGAAAATAAGACATCATTACACTTAGAGGGATTCATTCTAAGATTGTGCTTGAGAAGACCAGTCGGTGAGCAGTGAAATATTCTGCATAAGTTTGGGGTACACGGAGGAATTTTAAAACTTCATGCCATGGACAACATCGGCGTACTCCATGAGCAAATAATCATCAAAAGCAGACGTGGAAGAAATATGGGTTGTGAACAAGAAGGGAGAGAGAATAGCTCCTTGAAGAACTCCTTGAGTGGAGGGTAAACGTAAAGAGTTACGACCCTTATATTTAGTAAACTGTTAGCAATGGGTAAAATAATTATGTAACAGATTGGTAAGCTCCGGCTGAATGCCTTTCTCAGAGAGAGTGAAGAAGTTTGGACCTATCAAGACAATTAAAGGCATCACTGTAATCGAAGAAACATACGCGAACGGCTTTACACTTCCTGTCCAAGGAAGAAGAAACATAATGAACAAGGGATGCCAACGCATCAAACATTCTAACATTCAACAAAGCCAGTTTGAGCGCAGAGTGAGTTCAGAGGAATGGAACGGTGGGCTCTGAATGACAAGTTAATGCCGAGACAGATGTTAAGGAGGATAGCGCCGAGCTGCAACACGAACCTACAGCAGTGGAACCGTTCGAGGTGGGACATTCAGCTGTAATGATTGAGCGATGATCGAGGGAGAAAACGTAGAGCCCGAACCGAGGCTTAAATCTTCCGATAATATAGGTACATCAGCTAAAATTGAAGGATAAAAACTGCATTGTCAGGAAACAGAGATTCCAGGATACGAAGATTATAAGTCTAATAAAATCGCAACACAAATCATATATATATATATATATATAATCTATTTACAAGAAGGGCCACAAGTCCTTTTGGAAAAAGCACTGAGGAATTAATCAACATTGTTTGTAATTCTCCCGCAGGCATTATTCACCGTTGCTTGTCTACCGCATGCGAACGTTGCACGACAGAGAATCAGGTTAGTTTTAGACTTGATTGAGGATAAATCAATCATATTTTCTCTACGCCAGTTATGGTGAGGTGATATCCATGTCCCTGATCGATTGAGAACTTACGAAGAACTTAAACAATGAGCCGGTGCAAGTAGGCATAGAGTTGAGTTCAATGCGTTTCCAGGTCATTGGGTGTTTGGGCAAGTTACCGGTCACAGCCTACCTAATTTGCAAATTTACCTGACAAGATATCTCTGGCTATATTGCAATCTCAACCATACCAATCCGCTACTGAATCTAGTCACGATCAGTTAGTTGCTCGTTGGCTATTCAAGGATTAGAAGCAAACCCAAACGAAGCGGAAGACCACCGCATAAAGATGGTCTTTATTGCAAGTTGAGCATGCGCTGCACATTTGTCATGGAAAAAGGCAACAATCCCTTTTGCAATTGCAAATCCAGTATCCTTCTCAGGAGTCAAGTTTCGGTTAATAAAATGACATCTGATTGAAATAAATTTACAAGAAAGTCTGAACACCATTCATAGTTTCCCTTGCTCCGATTAAGTTGCTGAATATCCGCAGAACTTCTTGTCTCAACGCTCGCTTGAATGCTATGTGCAGATCCCAAACAGTCACTAATCAATAGTTCTAGATATGATTACAACCGTTAAACGATCTGGAAGTGTAGCTTCGTGAAAAATTGTTACGGTTGGTGGTTGTTAAAATTTTCATTTGGTTATGAACATTGATTTTCGGAATCGAGTTGAAGACGAGGTAGTAAGCATGTATGTCAGCACGTTGGCTTACTATGAAGAATGTCATTCTGAACGTTAAGTGGAGCCCTTTAGGACCAAGTGCTGATTCTACTGATATACTCTATTGGACATCAATCACGATGTAAATGGACAATTTTCTGTCTATGTGGCGAAAGAACAAGACTCAACTCTGGGTGCATCTGTGTGCGAATACCCCGCCAAATCGTTAAGATAGAGATAAGTATGATATTCTAACCTCGAATACTGCTAGTCTGCTTGGCCGATGCGCTAGAATAATTATAGCCGTCGGAAACCACTGTGTCAAGCGGATCCCGCACTCCAAAGCAAGCATTCGAAAGGTGTGCCAACTATACTGAGTCATACATTTCTACACCGAACTACATCTATCTCCTTTTGGTCTAATAGCCGAGATGTAAATAGTTTCTATCTTAATCATTCATCTTATTCCATAAATGCTCTATACAACAACGAACCATGCATTTTTGTGCTCCAGTTTGACTACCGTTGCTCACTGTCTACAACCGTTCAGTTGCATATCACATGTTTATAGTTTCAGTTGTAATAACCATTTCACCTTGCACGACAATGCAAGTCTTCAGTTGTTATCTTTCGGCCATCCATTTAGTCTACCAATAACGGAGAATGAATTGGAAAACAGCCTAAATTATAATCGAAACTCCCGCTTACCTTTACTGTTATCTGCTGTCCATTTTCAGGGAATACCCTATTATGGTCCCGGTGTGGACGTGTGGTCGCTTGGTGTTATCCTTTTCACACTGGTCCTTGGCCATTTGCCTTTTGACGCTCGTGACCTCCGGGAGTTACGCAGCAAAATTCTAGGCTTACATTACACCATACCGAAAGGTGCCATATCCCCCGAGTGTGAGGCGTTATTGCGAAAAATGCTTGTTCTCGATCCAAAGGATCGATCCTCACTGAAGGTATGATTTTTTCGTCAGCCTTGTTTTATTTTGACTTCCTCGTACTCATCTTCATTCGAGTGTTGCCGTCTGCAGTTTATCTTTATTGCCATAGGAATCGAGTTCAGCTGGGTTTGAGTTGCACTTGACTCCTATGGGTGATTTTACAATGGAATGGTTCCAATCTCCTATTGGAGTTATAAAATGACTGTTAGTTGTTTTTTCCCGATCGGTATTCCTCTAGTATTTTTGTTCAAGAACATAAGTTCATTAGTGGTCACCTACTAACTGTCTCACATGGATGTATTTTCTCCATAGCACTAATCGTCTTGATCATGCTTAGAAAAAACTCCGCTGAAAGGATGCCGATCTGGAGGCACTCGGGTAATTCATAGTCCACATCACGGGGTTGTTTTTTTCATAGATAAACTGCCTTGTTTTTCTGGACATGTCTTTAAAACAAATTGCATCGGCATTATTTATTGTTGTAAAATCTGCAATCCGATTTAACACATGATTTCATCTTCAGAGTACGCCTTTCTGTTGATCAAGTTTATGGTTCCCATATCGATGCAGAATTGGAGGAACTTGGCTGTGGTCAATGGCTGTTGTACAATAATCGTGACTCACAATAAAATAGAAACCGTGTAATCAAAAGAAACAATGTTATTCGGGGATGTAACTAGTAAAAGCACTCGCATTCCGTTTGTTGATTCTGCATTCGAATTTGTTAGTTCAATCGAAAAGCTTAGAATATACGTTCCAAGATCCGGTTATCCAGAGAAAAAGGATAACTGTCTAACAGTCGTAGTACGTCTGTCACCGTAGAGCTTGTCAGGATGGTTGACGGCCTGGGACCTTGATGGGCTGGGACAAATTAGAGGGCGAGACAGACGGTTCTACCGTCGTCCGGGTCAGTACCACCGCCTAACCATCGGAACCTTATATGGTTGCCGGTTACCTCTCATCTCACTGTGAATACTACAACATACAGGATCACTTCTCACGCCTACTTACTCGAGAATCGCACTCACTAATATTCGCGGCTTGAACCACATTGTTGATTCTGTACATCAATTTATTCAGTCCACTTCCCCTCCTGCTCTATTTTTCTCCGAGACACAGCTTTCTTCTTCAGACACCACCCGTCTTTAGTTTCCCAATTATTCTCTTCACACTTCATTCATCTCCAAAGCTGGTGTTTGTGCTTTTATGCAGCAGTCAATTGCTTCTACTCCGTTCTCCCACTTAAACCTCACCAACTGCGAGTTGCAAAATGTAACTGAAACTTCGGTTCTCCACTACTTCTGCATTGTATAGCGTTCCCCAAGTAGTATTGACTCTTCAGTCTTTGATATCTTCTTGGCAAACATTAACAGCATTGTTGAAGCAGACCTCAAAGCTCACTTCACAACTCAGGGCGATTTTAACGTCCATAACACTCTTCAGACACCGCCTCGTGGGCGTGAAGCAGAATCATCTGCCCTAATAAACAGCCTTTAACTGGTTTATTTCCCGACCCATATCCCCGACTGTGCTGGCGACGACCCACAGTTATTTTCAAATATTGTCGCAGTTCCTCTCCTGGGCTTATCGGACAATTGTCTTATTTCGCTCTCTACCCAAATGTTCCGTTCCACCGTACCTCTTAATTATAGACACATTTTGGCGATACTGTTCCGCTGATTGGTGCAGCTTTTGTAACTTTCTGGCTTCTTACTCCTGGAATGATTGTTGCTTCCACTAATGTCCATCTCGGCTTTAAAATTTTCCACTGTTCGTTTGCAAGGCATACACCTATTTATTCCTCATTTCACTATACCCGACAAGCCTTTTTCTCCAGAGCGATTTAACCATGCCTGTTGTCGCACTGTTAGTAAAAATAAATGAGCATTTCGCCACTGGCGTTGCTGCCCCCGCTTCCACTGATGGCTCTCGCAAGCACGCAACAACTGCACAACCATCAAACAGAAAGCTATAAATATATATATATATATATATATATGTATTTATGTATGTATGTATGTATATATGCACATTTCACGCACGTTTGAGTTCCGATTGTGTGCAAAACAAGTCGCGGTACAATAATCTTTATGAAAAGATTTGCATGTGTGCGGAATACTGCCAGGTTGCCCAGGCCAAGGCAGGTGAATTTTCTTGGGGAATCCACAACCGGAGCCTTCGGCTAGCCAAAGCCTGACCCGCAAGGCAGCTGGGCGGTGTGTGAAAACCGCAGTCCATTGGGAGCCGGTGTCCAGTTCATCGAATCATACACCCTTCGTAGGGGGTGTGACGTCCAAGGTGTCCAATACACCCCAATGCCCAATCGAGCCGG